TCACCTTATCAAAGTCACTGTACTGGCCCGTGCCTGACAAGCTCATATCCCCTTTTTAGGGGAGCACTCCCCACAGCCACCTCCTGAGGGAACAGTCCTAGGTGTACAAATTCTGGACCACATCACCCTGCCTCCCTCTCTCCCTTACCAAGAGCAAGGCTGATTCGATTAGTGATGGTTGCCTGACCCGTGATGAGGCAAGCACTTACGCTGGCCTGCAAACTGAGGTGACCTGGCATGAAAAGCTTTGCCTAAGGAGAAACAAATGGGGACCAGAGTCTCCCCATCAGGAATTTGAACTGGGTAATAGAGAGAAGGCCAAGAAGTTATCAAGGAAAAGGAGCAGACTCATGTAGAGTCCATGTTAACCATGGAAAAAATCAGGGTGATGTGCCATGAATTTCTGCTGCTGACTTGAGGGAGGCTCATGACAAAAACACTCAGGTTCTAGGACTACCTTGGGATGTCAAATGACCTTCCCTATCAGCCTCCATGAGGCACAGCTATACAGCTGTCCCTAGAATTCCTGTGAGATGTCTAGCTCCCTTACTGCAACTGCTTCCACCCAGATATTCTTTAAAAATCTAGGTCAGGTTAGGCCATTACTCTGTTCAAAGCCCTCTAATGGCTTCCCACCTCACTCAGAGTAAAAATTAAAGTCCTTACAATGGCTCTCAAGACTCTACATTCTCTGCCTCCAGCCACACCGGCCTTTTTGACATTCCTGGAAGAGGCCAAGCATTTGCTCTTGCTGTTTGCTGTTTCTAACAACATTCCCCTTCCAGCTGACCACATAGCTCACTCCCACACCTCCTTTAGACCTCTGTGCAAATGTCGCTCAAGTCAAGGAGGTTTTCACTGACCATCTGATACAAAATACCAACGTCCCCTCCCCAGCACATATCACAACCTGACAGTTTATACAGATTTTTTGAAAAATTGTCTGACTTCTCTTACTAGAATGTAAGCTCCATATGGACAAGCCCGATACGGAAAAGGGGACTTTATTTTTATTATTCCTTTATTGGATATCCATCTGATATATAAAAACAAACTATATAATATTAAGTGCTATTCATTGAACTGCTCCAATTTAAGGTATTACCAAAGGCCAGAAACATAAATATTTACTATTTTACTCAATAGTAAAATAATGTTTTCTTAATTTATCATGTAATGGTAAATTGGAATAAATACCATATGGATGGCATTCGAATTACTAGCGGTATCATCCCCAATGGATAGGGCAAAGGAGTCCCAATTTTCACTACACAGAGCCATGTGGTCACCAGAAAAAGACAGACTTTCCAATAAGATGATATATATTCTTAAGATACTACACTTCAAAAAGTAAATGCATTGGTTTAGAGAAAATGTAGACTTTCCGATGATTTTTTAATCAGTGAAAATACAGGCTCAAAGGGGTACAGTGTCATTAAAAATTAATCTGAGTTATATGGCTAAGTTCTCTACAACTATAATAAAATTAAGTTTTCCTTCTTCAACAGGTAGATGAATACACAGGTGTTTTTACGTTCTCCTTTATACTTTTTGCTGAAATATTTCACATTTTTTTAAATTAAAGTCAGGAAATTTTAATGAAAGAAATAAAGTTGAAATACTTAGTATGTGACGAAAGTGAAACAAGGATAGTTTACAAGACTTTCCTTATTGTGAGGTAGTACAAAGTGGTTAAGGCCCAGGCTCTGGAGACACACTGCCTGGGTTGGAATCTTAGCTCTGACACTTACTAGCCATGTCATACTACAATGCAGCAAATTACTTAAACTTCCTGAGTCTCAGGTTCCTCATGTATAAAATGAGAACAATATTATACCAATAATAATGATACCCTGGTTGAATGTGTATATTTCAAGTTCTTAGAACATTTCCTGGGGGATAATAAATGCTATAAATATATGTTTCTTCTGATTACTTTTTAAATTTTTTTGTGTATGTGAGGAAGATTAGCACTGAGCTATCATCTGTTGCCAATCCTCCTCTTTTTTGCTGAGGAAGAACGGCCCTGGGCTAACATCCGAGCCCATCTTCCTCTACTTTATATGGGCCACTGCCACAGCATGGCTTGATGAGCGGTGTGTAGGTCCACGCCCGGGATCCAAACCTGCGAACCCCTGGCTGCCGAAGCGGAGCACACAACCTTAACCACTGCGCAACTGAGCCGGCCCCATTTTAAATATTTTTAAAGATACCTGTAGGCCATTCAGGAAGATATTTGGAGACAGAGTCTGAATTTCAAGAGAGAGATCTGAGCTAGAAATATAAATCTAGGCGTCACAGGGACGGACACACACACACACACACACACACACACATACACTCCTAGAATAGTGCCAAGCAGATAATAAGTACTATATAAATGTTAATTCTTATTATTTTTAATAAGAATTTCAGAAGTCAACTGAATTTAAGCTTATTAAACTGAAAGCTAACTAACACTTAAATGCATATAGTAGGTGCTCACTAAAGGTTTCATGAATGAAAATAATTCTTGGTGGTTACTTTTCTTGATTCATCATTATAAAAAGTAAATGGAAACTGAAAAAATATAAGATTTAAACTTCTCAGATTATACTCAAAATATAAATCTAAACTTAGTAAGTAATAGTAATAAAATGATTACTAACAATTATGAAAACAGTAATAATATTAGCTTTGACTTGAAAACATTTTCAAATTTAGATATTCAGTCAACTTAGCATCAACTTCAGTATAAATGCGTATGTCTCATATGTCTACAAGCCATAGAAAAACAACCCCAAGTAGATTATAATCATCACTTATGTTCTTCAGATTCCTCAGGCTTAAATGTCCCTGCCCAAAACGGTCAATAGTATTTCCCCAGGATTTGAATCTTATCCTCAAAGGTTTGGCTCACATATAGGGCAGGACTGGAGAGGAAGGGGAGCACTGGCCAAGTCATTCACTGTCTAAACAAGACTGAAAAAGAAATATGCATGCCAGGTGAATGGTTTAAAATGAATTTTTAACATCTGCTACCCCTAACGTGCATCAAATATGCATGTATAAGACAATCCAGCAATTGTTTTCTACCTAAACATGTTTGTTGATTTCCACTCACATTATAGCCAGACCTACTTACTATTCTCCCATTGCAGTCCCTTATCCTCTGCAGAATCACACTAAAGCATGATTCCATTCAGAAGAATAAGGGGAAGACGGGTGCCCAGGGAATTAACAAAGCTGAAAAGAACCCCAAGGAACACAGAGGCCAGTTCCTCTCAGAGGATGGGGGCGAGGAAGAGGAGGAGTTGGTCCTCCGCCTTAAATTCAGATGTACATGTTGCAACATATCAGTTCCCAGGCAGAAAGGCAGCTGAAAAGGGCTTATTTTGGTTGCTGTTTTCCTAGTTCTGGAGGAACATTCCTAGAGTGGGGAAAATGTGGCTACACATCCAACAGCCAGTTGAATCAACTCGGACAATTAACAGAGTGACCTATAAAGTCACAAATATCAGATTTTAATCTCAGGGTTCCTGCATTTGTATAAGTGATATCACAAAAGAATGATATGTCCCCTAGACTATTTCTTTCCACAATGAGATTCTGAGGAAGAAATATGCCCCTCGTTGCATTTCCCCCAGTGTGATTTTCCCCAGGGCAGGCAACCTTTTTCAAAAAAGAGTGGTTCCAAATTTCTTATGTTTATGAAAACTAGAATTTGCAAAAACATCTGATAATTTAAATGACAAACAGGTTTATAGTATGTTAACCATCTGTGGTTTTCAAAAGTGTCATTTATGATTTCTTTGCTTTTGAGGGGAAGAAAAGTGAAGTTTATGCCTCAGAAAGCTTAAGCAGGAACTGATGATAAATTTTTGTAAAGGCTGGCAAAGAAAGGTCATATACAGTTTTCCTGACTGTGGATTACTGGGAATGGTATTTTCTGTTTTTGCACCTTCTTTTTGTGACTCAATTAAGGCAAGTGATGCTTGTCTCTTCTACCTGTCTGAATGTATATATTTTTTTCTTTTCTCTAATGTAACAAAACTAGTAACTTAAAAGATACCATCATTAGTGTACATATAACTGAGGGCTTACTTTATTGAATTATTTAAAAGTCTCACGTAATTAATATAATCTATACTAAAATGTATTATTACAACTACGATATGTTACTGGTAGTATATAGAGAAGAGAAAAAATTATTCTGGATAATTAAAATTATTAATCCTCAAAAACAAAAAAAAGGCCTTTTCAAATGTGTTTAGACAAAAATTACACAGGAAATTCAAGATTTTGCAAAAATATTTTAATAAAACATTCAAATAAATTTCAGTTAAACTTGCTAAACTTAATATTCTTATAATTACTTCTTATTTGGTTACCTAATCTATAAGAATAAAACCTGTTATACATAAAGAAGAGCATTTAGTACTACAGATAATACATCAGAACAAAAAATTTACAGAAAGTGTGGCATCCATGTATCATGCAACTACAACAGATTGTAATTTAATCCAAATATTGCCATATCGCATTTGAAGTAATCATTAACCACATTTTAAGAAAAAAGTATTCAAAGATGACCCCATTATATAAACATGGTATAATCTTACTTTTTATGAACATAAACCTATGGTAATAAGAGCAAATCACTCAATAAACACTTGAACTGAGCATATGAATTCATAAGTTGCTATCTTTAGCACATCTGAATTAATTACTGTATTTAACAAGAGATAACAATATGACTATAATAAGCTAAATCCAAACAGAGAAAATAAGTCTAATGTAAAAACAAAAATTTTTTTTGGTTTTTGTCTCTTAGCTGGCTCCCTGACTGCATCTATTTTCTTCTAATACACGGCTATTTCAGAAAAAGAAGCTCCCACACAACTAAATAATAATTTTCAACTTTCTCTATAGCTTTTCTCCCCCAAATTCATCCATCCAGGAGTATTTTCATTTGCTTGCTGGTAAATCCTATAAAAAGTCCAATTTATCCATCCCCATCTCCCTCTGAGCTTCAAATATGTTAGAAAAACAGAAAAGTTCAAAGCAGTTGGAAAAGCAGTGATGTTCCAAAGAATGCCAGTTGAGATCTTTTGCTGAAAAAATCTACTTCCTAAAAGTCAACAGGTCAAACTCACAGCTGGAGGCGAGGGTCTTCAGAAAATGAAAAATCTTTTCGCCGCTTCAATCCGCGGACTTAAAATGCTCCCCATCCACAGTGGGGTAGATGTGGCCCTCGACGGTCAGATAATCAATGGCTTGCTTGATGGTCCCGATGCTCAGGCTGCAAAGCTCGGTTTGGAGCTCTTGAATGCTCTTGCCTTGCTGTCGAGGACACTCATGAATCAAACGCAGCACCTCCTTCGAGATGAAGTCAGGGCAGTACTCGCCGTACTCCTGAGCCTCATCAACTTCCGGTGGGGCAACAGGTGCATTTTGCCCAGAGGCCGCTCGGCGGGCTTTATCCAGCATCATGTGCGCGTTGACCGTTTCCAGAATATGTGCGGTGAACTCGTTCATGTCCTCCAGGACGCGGATTTTCAATACCTCAAGGCTCTTCACCCCCGTAGAACATTTGAGGATACCGAACACTTTGGCGTATACTCCCACTGGCAGCGGAGTCATCCCCTGCTTTGCTTTATCTCTGCCGACCCACTGGCGGACCTCAATAGGCTTGGTGGTCATATCATCAATTCTGTAAAGAACGTAGTTTGGAGCCGGCTCTGCCTGTCGGATTATCCCCACGATAGAGACCCGGGAAACTTCAATTCCCCTAATCGTGAAGACATCATCAGCCAGAGTGGAGGTGAGCAGCTGGTTTACACAACAAGGTATAATGTCCTGGATTCGGGCCCTGGATCTTGAGGGCTTAGCAGCAGGAGCTGTGCCGCCGCCCTGAGACGGTCGGTCATTGCTTCCGCTGGCTCCACCCGCGGCAGAGATGCTGCCATAGCTCCCAAACCCTTTCTTACTCATGTTGAAGGCAGCTCAGGCAGCTGAGGAGGTGCGGTCGGATCTAGTCGGTGAGTTCCAAAGGCGGCTCTGACCTCCACAGACCGCTTCCCGCGAAGGCTTGGGCTTGTGACGACACAAGCAGCCTCACGCGACCTCTGGAGCCAATCAGGACCTACCAGCTTCTCGCCTGATCCCATAATTCTTTGTAGTCGTCTGGCGGTTGCTGGGCTGCATTTTAAAAGGCCCCCCATGTAATTTCAAGCCTTTCCTGCCGCCTTTATATAGGTACATTTTTACTAGGTTTTTCCCCCCCTTCATTCCTCAATGCCACAACTTCTTCTATAGTCACTTCTTAAAGACTCATTTACTCATTCAATCAATTAACCATTTAACAAAATTTTTCAGAGCCTATCATAAGTGCACTATGGTACAGTACAGTAGGTTGGGGGGGCGGCCGGGGGTGGGGCGGGCCTAGGTGGGTGGATGGGGGTGAGAGGGAACCACCACAATGGTTACTGTTCTTAAAGAACTCACATCCTTGTTCAAAGCATTAAAACTGGAAGCATTCTGGAAGAAATAGCAAGACAGCTACCTTTGAATGATTATCATATTCAAAAGTAAGTCACATCTTACCACTGTCTTTTTAAACTTTTTATTACAAAATTGTAAATTCCCAGTTATTCTACCAAATGCACTAAAGGAAAAAATAAATAATGTGATATATTTCAATTTATACATAAATCAAAATAGAATAACTGAGCTCTAAATTATTTTCAAGGCTCTGTGGATAGGTCAGAGAAATACAAGATGTCAGCCTCATTATATATTAGGAAAAACATGAGTAAAATCAAAATACAGTTTCTATATACCCTTATCCAGGAATTTCTGAATTTAAGATTCTAGCAATTATGTAAGCAGATCTCAGAATATTTTCATATTACATTGAAAGTCTATTTTTTCTTATAAAAATATTTTATTTTGGATGTAATTAATTTAAAGGCTTTTTTTATGGTTAATAAAGCAACATCAGTTACTGGAATCCACCATTGGCAAGGAACTTCTTCCTTAAAAATTCTTTGTAGTTAGGTAATAGCCTAAATGTGTATAGTTTTGAGGAGTTTATTAATACTTGCTCTCTTATTTCTTTTATTGTTTAAAATAATTTAATTTTTGCCATCCCAAATTACAGAAATGTGTGAATAGTATATCTAAAACTTTTAGAAGCATATAAAATTATATTTACTTCTCAGGTTAAAAAGGAATAATATCATAGAACCAATTACTTCATTTGTTTTACAAATAAATACATAATAATTGTTATATGAGTACACAGATTTCCATGTAAATGTGGATATTTAACTTCTGGATCCATGTTTTATATAATCAAAGAGGAATTAAACATCCAAGTAATATTTTTATTCTTAAAATTGTATGTTATTAGAGATGTATTAAGATGATATATTTTTTAAATGTTTACAACCTCATAATCAGACACTGCTGTTTTATTAGCTAACTTCAGACTTCTGTTCAGAAAATCTTGAGGTTACAATGACATAACTGATTATATTCCCAACAATTATATACAGTACAAATTGTATGAATCATACTAAAACAATAAGAACCACCTACCTGACAGGATTGCTGGTTAAGGAAACTCTCAGAGATTCTAGGCAATTAAGAAGTTTCTCATCTGAAATACCAGATCGTAATTCATGAACGTATTCTTGTGAAGACAGGGTGCATTCATGTTTGCTGTTTTTCAGTCCTCCCTGTAAAAAATAAACAAATAAATACCACTTTAGACAAATGACAGGTTTTAAAAAACCTTTTAAAATAAAATAATGCATAGAATATGTGAATATTTTACTGCATAATGTGTGCAGAGAGCCAGGCATGTAAAAATTCTTGGTCACAGAATTGATGTGGTAAAATCATATTGCATATATGTCAACACTCTCCCTAGCCTCATTTAAAAGAAAATTACACTGCTGGTGCTCATGGCCTGAATAGAATATGGACTTGAGTTGCATAAAGTGTCACTGACAAGGATGCTTAAATTTACAGTCCAAGCATTAGGATTAACATTAGCTGGTTCTCCTTAACCACAGAATGAACATTTAGAAATCATCTTATTAATTTTCCTAGCTAAGATATTTATATTCTATTCCACAAAATACAGTGAACAAAACTGAATATAAAACATTATACATAACCCCAATCCATTGAGATATATCAGAGTATCAGCCTATTTCAAAAAACAAATGAAAACGGTTATTAAATGTAAAACAATATAGTCTCCAGTTAGCATGTTAGTTAATCAAATTAGTCTAAAGCATTCACCAATTCCCAACTATTCATTCCTAACTATGTTACTCCCATGTTGTAGATTAATCTTAAAAAGTCATTGAATGCATTTATCTGATAGCGACTAGTTTTTAGCTTAATTTCCAATATACGGGAGTTATTTCTAGAACTCATTATCTCATCACAGCTCCTTAGCTTCATCACCTTGCCATAACTAAGTAAGTAGTTTGGGGAAAAGGCTGGGAGAAAAACATCATCAACACATTCATTGTACTAATAACTCATAGTTTCACATTCTAGACACACATAATCATAACTTCCCCTTTCCTATATTACAAACATATCTCCCTGAATTAAAACTCTAGCATAAGTCCCATTTTCTAAGTTCATATGAATTACACTCAGTTTCTGCTAAGTATCTAAGCTAAAATACGGAAAGCAATTTTTTTTTCCATTTGGTAGAAGTCATATCATTAGAGGATATAGAATTTTTTAAAAAACCAATGTGTTAATAATGAGAAATGGATTCCCTAGGGTTTCATACTCTTTGGCTTTTTATTGAGAACGCCTCCTCAATATAGTAATTGTCAATCATTCTCAACGTCTGAATTTTTAAAAATTCCATTAAATAGTAAATGTTTAAAGTCTGCTAAAGTCTATGTAGGGGAATTGTATTTCCTTATAGCGCTGTGGCACTGTCACTCTTACAGCACTTAAGACATTGGGACAGAGGTCATAAGTTCTAGTTCTAGACTGGGAACTCCATGTATGCCAAGCATCTAACACAGTGACTGACTTTAGTGAGCCCCAACAAAAGTGTGCTGTTATTGAATCTGTCCATTACAATTACAGAACAAGGAATACAACTTCATACTTTCAGCTCCCATATTTTGTGTAATGGCCACTGACTTGATTTTTCTTGCTTTGTTAGAATATACAGTAGATGTTCAAGAAGTCTACTAGATGAATCACTACATAGATGCACCGTAAGTAAAAACATCACCATGAAATCATTTCCACGTATCTATAACATATTTACCCATCTCTTTAGGCTACAGATCCACAAAGAATAATAGCAAGTAAACATTTATAGCATAAAATTTTGCAAGTCTACAGTCACATACCACTTCCGTATGATCCTCAAACTTGTTTTCTTAATTAATGGATAACAAGGCCCTACTGATCCTCCCCTGGAGGCTTGTATATAGAGCTTATTCCTGTAGAACGACCGTTGTATTTGCTGTATTCTCTGCCTGAAAGACTCTTACCCTGACCTCTCCATTGCTGGCTCTCATCATTTAAGTCTCAGCCCAATAGTCTTCTCTCCTCCACATTCCAGTTATCATCCCAACATCATTTTAAATCTCATTTATAGTATTAGCTCTATATAAGTTTATCTTGTTTAGCACTTTATTTGTTTACTGTGTCTTCCTCATTAAAACATAAGCTCTATGAGGCAAGAATCTTGCCTACCTTGTTCACCACTGTATCTCCAGATCTTAACACAGTGCTTGGCACACAGTAAATACTCAATACATATTCATTGAATGAATGAATGAATGGATGGATGGATGGATGGATGGACAGATGGTTAATAAACAAACGGGGGAATGACTGATGAGTTTCAACATGATGAAACTTCCAAACTCAGTTTAGTTTTGCTTCAGAATATTACAGTTCTAAGATGTTCCATTACAATATATTTCGAGATGCTAGTAACAGCTCAAACAGTTCAAACTGCCACTGGGTTTGAATCATGGCTCCCTCACTTACCTTCTAGATAATCTGTGAGCAGGCTACTGAACTAATCTCTATAAACCTGTTCATTAATCCATGATATACGGGTAATAAACACCTACCCCACGTTTGTTACGAGGATAAAGACAATGCATATAAAGTGCCTAAAACGGGCATTTCCTATGTGTTGCCTCATAGACAGAGTAAGCTGCTCAGAAAATGTTAGTTCCTGTCTGCCTTACGGTCGTGGCTAAGATACTCTTTATGGAACAACTGGGCCAGCCCATCACATTGGGACTTACATCTTCCCCAGGTCTTAGAAATAAGTTTAAGTTGTATAATTTAGGATACTCTGTGGTTATAAGGAGTGGAAGCAAACACTCTAATGGAGCAAGACAGAGAATATATAACCTTATAAAACAAATGCCTTTTATCAAGTTAGAAGGATTCTGGGGTTTTAACATAAGTTCACATTTGAAAACATGATAGCATGTAAAGGCTAGACCAGCCCTTCTAATACCCTCATTACAGAAATAGAGAATCAAGGTGATTGTAAAGTTCACATAATTAGTGAGGTTGTGAGAATAAAACACTAATATTCTGGTCCTCAGGTTACTTCTTTTTCCACTATATGTCACTTTTTCTTAATATGGAATGAAAAATTAAAGCAACAAGTATTTAATTCTGAAATCTCTATTACAAAATGTCAAAGTATCTTCAGCATAGTCAATATGGTGCAACATAATATTAAAGAAATCACCTAAAAACAAAACAGTGCAATAGATTAAACTAATTCTCACTATATTTAATAGGGCTGTAATACAAAAATGGCTTATTATTAACATGTTGTTCTCATACTGAACAAAGGAAACAACTAGATAATGGATGGATAATAATGGAAATTTTAATTAGCTGCTCTGTATGAGATTAATGAAAATTACCACTGTGCCCATTTGATCTCTAAAAAATACTGCAGACAAAGTGAGCAATTAGCGTACATCATGCTATTCCAAAGCTAGGTGAACAAAAAGCTTTCCTAATTTGAAGCCATTCCTTAATTTGAAAATCATTAGGATGGAGATCCTTGTCAGTGTGACTGTGCTTGTATTATTCTAAGACACTACACAGAGAATCCAAAGGTTCTTTGGGTCAGTGTAATAATCTCGTTCCCCTTACTCTGAGATGAAACGTTAGTATCAAAACCAGACGAGCAATATTCTAAAAAGAACATTTTAAGTTTGCCGTGGAGATACCACTTCGGATTTTAGATTGACTTAGCCTGAGCATGATCTGTCATTCTTTAATGTAAATTCTGATTTACTTATAATTTGAGGAAAGGCTTCATAGTTCTAAGTTGTCAAGGTATCTTGCTGCAGACACTGGAAGAACTATTGATTGTACACAGATCTTTTCAACTACAGCATGCACACAAATAGCAATTACTATCAGGGGTGTCATCTTCAAATAGGAAGGATAATATTATTGTCATGAAAACAATAATTCCATTACTGTCATTGACCATGATTTATAAACCCTAATGTAGTCAGGTTTCTTTGGCTACTTTAAGTGAGTTTCTTAGCTATCACTGCAGATCTCTGAAAAAGGAAGGTTACAGATTAACAAATTTGGAATTATATCTATAAAGGTTCACAGAGTTGTTCTTTAAGAGGCTCCTATAACTTTAAAAGCATAAGAAATGGAAAAGCCATTTTCATCATCATCAGTTCCTTGAGTTCCAGTAGGAAAACACAGAACAAATGTTTGATCTAAGTCAATCTACATATTTATTCTAATAATGATGTATTTGGTGGGCTATAGGACTCTGAATATATTGCTAAACCTTTAGATGGCTTCTCTGCAGTTATATAAGAAAAACATCTCATCAAGGGAGATTATTAGAATTAAGTAATTTATCCAAATTTATCCAATGTTTCCAAAAAATACAAAAGGTATTTTAATATATCACATTACAACATTTTAAATAATTTTATATGCAATTTGCAGTGAAAATTCTTTAAACTGCATGAAAAATACTGCGTAAAAGATACAATATATTATCAATTCAGGGTCTGTAAGATAAAAACAGAAAAATACCATCATGAGATAACTTCATATAGTGTCATTTCCCATTGCAGGACACAATGTTTTTAAGTAAGACCTTTTCAGAGGCCATAAGTGATATGTAAAGTAGGAGAACATATCCTAAATTCTAGGACAGAAAAAAAAAAAAAAAAAGCTTTGTTATAGCAATATAGAAGCATCATAATTCTTCAGATTATACATACGATTTGTCCCAAAAGGATTTAACTAACTAAGCATATTTAAATATGATTAGCTAAACTGTTTAAAGAAAAGTATAAGATTTTCTATGAGAAACCATTTATTGTTTACTTATTGAAGCTTCTATATTAAATACCAGATTAAGCAATTCATCCCCAAGTTATAGAATCTAAGACTATCACAGAACAAATACTTAAATCATTCTTTCATCACATATACTATTAGAAATGTCAAGTACACAGAGAAACTCTAAACATATATTTAAATTCTGTGGTCCTATTATTATTTCTTCTGTTGTGAAACACATACTTTATTTTATAGAGTACGCAGGAAAATGCTTCATAATAACATCAAGTAATTACTCAATTAAATACACAATAAATTTTAATTTTTAACATAAACTGAGACAAAAAGGAGATTTTTAATAAGTAGACTATTGATCCTAAAA